GCCGCGTTCACCAAAACCTGCTGTCACCACCCCGACTCCCATCCCGGGTCCCCAGCTGGGAGAAAACCGGAGCAGGAGGACGGACACAGGCCAGCAGCTACATTTAGACATAGCTCAGCCCTCCTGGCTCGGCGCGGGGGGATGGGACGGGGACACGGCCCTGGCCTGACGTTAGCAGTGGCGTGGCCCCTATAATAATGCCGTGCCCCGGCTGGGGCGCTCCTCCCTTTGTCAGCCTCGGAGATGAGTCTCCCTCTCCCCACCGTGGGGCTTGGAGGAGTAAAACTGGAGCCAGGGCACATCCTGGCACCTGGTCTCTGACCTCCGGTGGGAAGCGTGGACTTGCGCCGGCTCTGGTGCTGCTGGCCGGTGGGTCGCGGGGAGCACCGGCTTCGCGATAAGTGCGTGCTGGTCCCGTCCCCGGCTGCCCCGGTGCGGTGTTCGCCTTACGAAGAGCTGTCTTTCTGCTTTCAGGAATAAGTACTCGGCTCCCGGCAGCGTCGCCGTCATGGGGAAGGACTATTACAAGATTTTGGGCATCCAGTCTGGCGCCAACGAGGATGAAATTAAGAAAGCCTATCGGAAAATGGCCCTGAAGTATCACCCCGATAAGAACAAAGACCCCAGTGCTGAGGAGAAGTTCAAGGAGATTGCGGAGGCGTACGATGTCCTGAGCGACCCCAAGAAACGAGCCGTTTACGACCAGTACGGGGAGGAAGGTAAGGGGACGAGCTCTGCCCGCTCAGAGGCAGGGCTGCGGGGTCCACATCGTTTTTTATAGGCGAGGGAGCATTTTCACTCAGAACTGTACTCTTGGTTCATGCCCGCCCCCAAAACAGGGCTGATGGCTGCAAAACTGGGGAGATCAAGGGCTCTGCTGATGCCAGAAATTGCTTCCCAACCTGCTTCTACCTGGGCTGCTCTGCTGGGGTCATATCTGGGTTAGTTCATTAACAAGCGTTTAATTATCCTGAGTTTCCCAGCAGAGACATACTGCTTCTGCCCACGTTCCCACCTGCGTTTGGGCTCTGGTCCCACTGCCCTCCCTGGTACAGGCTGACCCTACGGGATTCAAAGCTTTTCCCAATTTAAGTAATAGGTCCTTGTTTTGAAACCAAGCGGTTGCTGTTGTCTGGTGGTTGGCACGGAGGAGGAGGAGGAGGAGGA